ACCCGGCCCCGCAGCCGCAGCAGGGCTCACCCTGTGGGACACCCGGCTCCTGGGGGTGAGGGGTCTCGTACTGAGAAGGCAAAGTCCCAAAGGGCCTGGTTTTTATAACTCAAGCACCTGATTAATTTACACTCTTCATCAAATTAATTAATTTTTTCCATAGGTCGTTGACCGTACTTTGTTTTGGGGTGCCGGCCACACCTGAGAGGTACTGCGGGTCAGGGTCTTCGCTGCTCTTTGCCTTTTCCTTCTCCAAGAGTCACCCTCAGGTCGCTGGTGAATCTTAAGTCAAGCGCAGAGTATGTCTGTGGTAACGCAGTGCTCCCAAATGCCACTGTCCTGCGTACGAAGGTGAGACAGGTCTTACGGCGTTTATCCTTAACCAGCATAATTTCAGAATTAGCGTAACTAGAGTTCTCTCTGCTAGTGTATTGTATTACAGAGAAAAAAAAAAAAACAACCAAGACTCAAGCAAAACTAGAAGTAATAATAAGCAAAAAAATCAAAGACATACTCCCAAGTTATTTTTTCTAAATATATCTAACTCGTTGATCTGTGGTTTTCACAGGCATTATTCTGGCCTTAAAAGAAAAACTACATCAAAGAGGCTTAAAAATTTGTTATTCAAATATTCTGCATATACCAGTAATTAATAGCAGTCAGTACCACAAGCTGGTACGACTTCTATCTGAATGTATTTCAAATTTATATTTGTTGTCTTTTAATTTAATGGAATGTCTCACTTTCCGTTTGAGGACTGAAGTGTTCAAAATTATGAGGTAAACACCCAGGAAGAAATTGTAATTGCTCTGAAATAGCAATGCTTTTAAAAAAAATCACATTCTTTTCCCTTGCCTTTAAGAAGCTTCCTGACGTTCTTGAAGTTACATTTAAAACATTTTGTTCAAAAGCATGAGTGTTTCAAATTGACTTGTCTTCATGCAGGCTTATAGTATCCATTTCGTTCACAACGTAGTCCCAGTAGGTTTCTTAGTATCACCCAAACTCCAGCTTCCCTTCCTCTCCCAGACTCCTCCAGAGATGTCCCATGCATTTTTGCATTACCAGGCTTCTCAGGCTGAGCTCAGTTACATAGAATGAGACAATTCCTTATTTCTAGACTGAGACTTTGAGATCACTGAAGATGATTTATACTTCAGTATTGCAGCTATTCAAATTATTTAATTTCTTGTGTTTCCACTTGTTGCTTACGTTACCTTTCCTAAAACCAGTCTACACCTTTAGTTTCGGTCACTTTGCACTGGAGAACAATTGGCTAACCAGCAACTTCATCTGAATATGGTAGTCACTTTGGGTTATCATGATGAATAGACATCATAAATTTAAGAGGACTCTGAACTGATATGGTTATTTAATACCTATTCCAAATACATTTAATTGATTATGTTGTAAATATACTTCATCTGCTTGAAGAAATTGGCAATATCATTAACAAATGCTGAGAAAAAAGCAAATTAGTATCTCCTTTTGCTTAATCAAATATTACTTATATTCAGTAATAGCTAGTGATGTATCTCCTCTTCAGCTCATGTAAACTGTGATTCTTCATGAGCAAACCAATTAGAGTTAAAATGAGCAATTTATTGGGAGCAAGGGACTATTACGTGAAGCTATTAGGCAAATTTGAATTGGAAGTCCCAAAATAGAAAGGTTTGGACCTAGAAGAGACTGTAATATATTAAAAAGCATTAAATTAGTTGCTAGGAGAGGAAAGTTACTTTGACTAATCATTGACTAAGTTACTGATATAATCAGAAAAGATGTAGGATAAGTGCTTTCTGAGCCATGTTGTGCCATGGGAAGCATGCTTGGAGGCTGCAACAGGGAATTCACGGGCAGGCTTTTATACATACCTATTTATCATCTTTTGCTTAATTTCCTAAGCAAATGAGGCTTGTGCAATCAAGCCGTCTGTCAGTCTGTGCCTTGTAAGTACAAGCAGTTGGCCAGCGCATTGGCCAATTTCAGCAAATTTAACCGGGTTGTAGAAATGTTGAGCAAAATGAAGTTCCTCTAAGTTTTGAGAAATTAGAGGAACAATATATAAAGTATAACCCCGTAAGTTCCCTAACAGAAGGAAAGGCTACACGTGCTCAGACTCACTTGGATAACAGAGAACCTGTTCAGGGGAGAGTTGTTAGAAATATCCCATTTCTTTGGGACAGGGGTTCTCACCATCAACCACAAGATGTGGGAAGCCAGTCCTCAGTAAGTTTGGACATCACAAGAACTGCATGGGTTTTTGTTTCCTGTCTTTTCCTCCTCTTAATGTAATTCTCTTGTATTTACATTCATTTTTTCACTGTCAGTTTTCCTAAGCTTGATTCCATGATTATTTTGTAGCTAGGGATACCATTTTCTAACAAAAATGATCATTGAACAGCTTTAAGTTTTTCCAGAACTATCCAATGAACACAGCAGTTAAATAGATCAGGCAGCAAGTCTTCTATTATTTTTTTTTTAAATCCTACCAATCAGTGGCTCAGGGATCCAAAGTGATGGAAATGTACAGTGAAGGTTGTCCCATACAAGTCACAGCCCATTCATGTGGTTGCCAGAAGTTAAGGAATGTACTGGCAAGGAATATGTTATTACCTCTCCAGCTACAAAGTACATTCCAACTGCAGATGTTTAGGCAAGAATGACCTTTCTGTCCAGTGACTGAAGCTTACTAATGCGTACAAAGATTGTTTTAACACTCGGTGTCATTTATTAGTGGTCAGGAACTGAAGGAATAAAAAGGTTGGACTTGAAGAGGTGAATACTCCTGGGAAAATTGAATTTACCCTTGCCTGAGGTCATAGTTTGTGACATTAGGGGAGGTCAGGCTTTTTATAGATGACCTATCAGCTGCCTGTGTCTGAGTGTCCAGCTTAAGTAATCAGTTGAATTCTGTTTGCTGATGTCCTAATTTGAGGTGAGGACAAGGAGGGCTGTGTTTTAATATCAAAAGTGCTATGCTATTTAATATTCTGAAAAAAAATCAAACATAACGTATCCCAAAGTGGGCACTCAACACAGCTTTGACATTTTTTTTGCGGTGCCTCAGTTCTGGCTGTAGAACAGTAGATGATGACTGACTTCTACCTCACAGATGCATATAAAGACACGTTTTTCTAAATCACTCAACATTCATGGTAGGAATGGGGATAAAACACTGGTAAGAAAATTCTGCGTCGGTACACAGAACAGCATTCCATACTGAGGTGAGAAAATGTGGTTACTGGTGGAGATGAGTAAGGAGGCTACACTCTGACTTTGAATATCTTGTTTCTGGTGCTTCCTGACTTAAATAGTCTTGTCATTTTACTGGCTCCAAAACATTATGCTTTGTAAATAATTAATGCAAGTAAGCAGATGCATTAAAATGTATAGTTGTTTTAATAGGACTAGGAAGTAATGGAGCTACATATGCCACAGATCTACAAATTCACTATACATGTGACACGTATAGGACACACTTGGAATTGCCATACGTTGCGTCATTGCCATACAGTCACCACAGATGAACTTCAAGGGGCAGTACTCCAGTGTAGCCTGTGTTGGGGCTATGAGTTGCCTGTCAAGGCAGAACAATTCCTAAGAAACACTGGAATTTGATCAGCCTTTTGCTGCAATCCCCAGAAAAAACCTCCTCATGCCATTACATGCTTCATTGTTCTTAACATGACAGCTACCATAAAAACTGACAGTAACCACTTAAAACAAATATTAGGATCCCAAATCATTTAAATAGCATGTTAAATCATGAACTGAGTTTAAACAATGGCCAGATGATCCACCTTATAAGAAACTTGCAATTGGAAACCCCTGTGTTCCTGAGGGATGGCATTTTACAAAAAAGAAAAATAATAATGTTTGAGTGCTAATGATAATATGAATACTCGTACGATTAAGGGGCTGGATGTTTAAGCCTTTAGGCAGTTATCTAACAGCATGTTATTTGCATAGAACAGAAGCGCTCCGAGACAGGGATCTGTGTGTATTTTTCTTCTGTGTGTTTTGTTTATACTACAAATCAATCTGAACCACTAAGTGAAATGCAAACAACAATAACGCTCAGTCTGCCCCAT